TAGTAGGGGGATGAGAAACCGCACGAGAGAGGGTAGATAGAAACAACCTGCGAAGAAAACGGAAACGTACCGAAGAGCGATGCCGGCTGGTTCGAAAATGTAATATTTCATCCAGCTCCAGCGTAAATAATAACACTCGCGTCCCGACGCCGGCGTCGCTCCCTACCTATATTCTACTGTTACGATCTCACGCGTGGGATCAGGGAGTACGACTCGCTTTGAGACACATACAGCGCTACCGGTATCCCATGGACGCTTGGAAATTCATCGTCTTCAGTGTTATCAGTGTACACGTGTCAAAGATTTTGCGACGTTGCCTCTAGATAACGCTTTAGGTTTCCCACGTTTCCTGATAAGACTCCGTAAGCCCTCAGGATATTTGAGAAGCGAGCGAGTGCATTGCGAACGGGCTCCAGCGGGTGATTTGCAAATTGCATTTCCCATCCTATTTCGCTGTGCTCTACTTTATTCAGGTATATACGGTTACATGTAAAATATATATAAAAGTTATATGTGAAATGTGTAATCTTTTTCTTGGCCACCCTGTCGATCATGAATTAATATGAGAAAATTAAAAATTGTTTTTATCATATGTACCGTCAGCTCTGGACTGTTGGTAATACTTCCGCTACCTGCTCTTCGCGTATGATTATTATCCCTTTGTTTACCTCGCGTCAGCGCGAAGAGTTTCGCAAAAGTTACGTCATCCGGAGGAACGAAGGAATTCGTGAAGATCGACCATTGCATTATGCAAGAGGGATAAGTCGAGAGACGTTGGTACTGCTATGAAGCATTTTGAAGACCTTTAGCCGTGGATACTAGCCCTTACTCGCGCTTACGTGCATCTCGACGGGCAGCGTTAAACTTCATCCTGAATGCCAATGAGAAGCGTGAAACTAAATTGTGGCAAGTGGCGCATAAGGATCCTGTTAAGTAGGCGTACACGTGTACTACAGCGGCACGGGTATATTTTATTTTGACGACCTTGTAGGAAATATCGTTTTACGGGTTGGCGGCGATTAAAAATAAAAGGGAAAGATGACGTAAAAGGGGGAAGGCAAGCGAAGGAGATAAGATTTAACAGCAAGTTAGGTTAGGTCGAGGCAAGTGATACCAGATCTGACGTGGATATTCGCTTTCTACGTGGATGGTCTCAATGCGTAAACATACCGACAGCATTTCTTATCGCAATAATCAAACATCGAGCATCTCTGCATACCTGAAACATAAAAGGATACGGGGGTTAGATATGTTTTTTTTTTTTCTTTATTTTTATTTTCCATTAGGAGATATGCACGTAAAACATACAGTTCAGAGATATCATTGTCTCTTATGCATTCGCGCTTTGTCTTTTCGCACGATTTGCAAGAAAAAAAAAGTGGAAGGACCTTTTTTTTTTCAAACAAAGATCTCTCGCCCATAGCACTCTGACTGTTATCATTGTGATTGTGTTTGATGGCGTGCATGTATATGTGGATCAGATTATTTTTATTATGGATAAATAGGGTGGCGCGAGTGTATTTGGCAGTTTATTAGTTACGTCTTTATTCATTGATCGGCAGTGAAGATCGATTGGATCAATGTGATTTATGGTGTTCGATGAAATTGAAAAAGGCCCTTCCATGAGAATGCCGGCGAATCGTAAGTGCGGGCTTATACAGAGAGAAATCAGCCAACTGGTAACGCGTGAAAATCCAGCTCACCTCGCCCTTACATTTTGTTACTCGGCTTAGCGGCACGGATGATCCATAAATTTATGAGTGTGGCAAATCGCGCGCGCGCATTTCCCAACCGCAAATCCCCCTTTAGCAAAAGGAACTTCCAGAACTTCCGTGGAAGATTGTTTTTCTTATTCGGACACGGCTTGAATTACGAGGACGGGGCCGCGCCGCAGCGGTCTCTCGACTCTCGACTTTGCTGCTTGGAAAAATGCGATATTCGAAATGCGAGCCATAAACTATTCGAGTTTAGAAATGAAAACGACCTGTAGGTATATACGGCTGATATTGAACTGGCAAAAATATGTAAGCGCGGAAGAAACCTGTGTAATTTCATTCTTTATTCACTACTCGATCCCTTGGTTCGTCAGGGGGAGACACGTGCTGCGAAAAGTAATGAAATCAAAGAAAGAGGTATAAGAAGAAAAAATTGGTTCACTCGATTTCCGACTAACGAGGTACCGGAAAAAGAGAGAGGGAGAGAGAGAGAGAGAGAGAGAGAGAGAGAGAGAGAGAGAGAAATTCTATTTTACTTCAATCCAGATACAGCCACTTACGGAATAAGACGTATTTAAGCGTTAACGTTCCAGGTAATGTTTCGAAAAGCCTCCTTTATATTGCGCTCACGAATTTCAAAACGAGCTGCGGAAATTTTGTAATTCGGACCATGCATCTAGCAGTCCGACGATTAAATCGTTTTAACGTCGATAACGTGCATGGAAATTCACTTTTTATTTTTTTCATCACATTTTTTTACCTCCGACAACTCCCACCCACACACCCACCTCTCTGCACCACCCTCGAAATGCATCGGATTTAATCGAACTCGACCCAGTAGCAAGCGTGACTGCGCTCGGGTATCGACCGTCCGAATGCAGTAATGGCGTCGAATCGACCAATCTTGGCCGGTTTGCAATTTAGATGCAATTTAAAAGTCCAAGACTTTTCGGCTCTTCCATTCCACCCTGTATGCAATGTAGTGTCTCTATCGTTATCTGAAGCTAAAACGATTTCGCCGTTGGATAGAGAGAGCTAGAGAGGGACAGAGGGACAGAGGGAGAGGAAATCAGAAATGCACACCTTGAAACGGGAGAGAGGAGTCCGCGAATTGACCGAACTCTGGGCAACCTGCGAGAATCTGTAGAGGACAGAGAAATACAGAGTGGGAGAAAGAAAGAGATAGGAGAAGGATGTACATCAGAAGGAGAGAGAAGCCAAGCAAGTTCGTTCGCAAGAAGTAATGGGCTAAGCTATCCTGGGAGACTTTCTGATAAGCCATCCGTTTAAACTTGCGACTTGGTTCTCGTAAGGGTCGGAGAGGCCAAGCGGGCAGAGACAAGTTGGTGGGTGCATATCACACCGGAGCGCGAGCAAAACTCGACGGAACTCCGTTCCGCGGCGCATACGTGTTTCAAATAAATTCCTTCTACGTGTTCGGAATCCGCGCGTACCGAAACCCTGCGGCAGGGATGATTTAACTAGTTCGCTGGAGCCGGAGAAGTCTGAGGCGGCAGAAAGCACGAAAGATAACTGTTCTACCCATCTGCACCGATACCGACTGCACTCTCGTTTCCCTTATATGAATTAAGAAGTAACATCACAGAGGCTTTAACATCCGGAAACTACATCAGTAATGCGGTTCACGGTAAGCGACCTACGTTCGTGCGTTCCTGCTTTCAAGTATTAACGATTTTACTTGTCTCGTGACTAACGAGTCACCAAATTTTTCCCATAATTCTATCGCAGCTGTTATTGAATCGTCAGCCCGTAGTAAAATGCAGTAACCCGGAAGTCGATGCTTTTTGAATTTCTAATCTTGCAACGTTGAGCACGTTGCACCACCCAACCCCTCAGCTAAGATTGCAGAGACGCCAAGATTGGATGATCGTAATTTCGCGAATTTCCACGAAGACTTTTTCGCACTTCGGATTTGACGATAACACGATAGGTTGTTGG